TAGATTCACATTTGCCATTAGAAACTCACAATTAGATGTATTCGAAATATGTCTGCAAACTCGCTCTTCGTTAGTCATGATTCGGCCTTTGTATAACAACCAAAGGAGCAGTCTAGCTCATGACAACCCTTTGTACCGAGAAATACTCTACCGCAAGCTTGAATCCAAAGAACCAAAATCTCCTCATCTTCACGCATATGCACTTGCAGCGGAGAAGCACAGTTCTCATTCCACTTCTACCCTAATCAATCGTTTTTAAATTGTGGATGTTGAAAATTCGTAGAATTCCAACAAAAGTTTTTATCAAGAATAAGGGCATTGAAGTTGATGGGTTGGATAGTGTTTGCTCTTGGTGTGGTATCGGGTTAGAAGAGGTAGATCACTTGTTTGTAAATTGTTCCTTTGTTAGGGGATTGTGGGCAGCTTTTACTGATTGGTGGAGCTTATCTCGCAGCGTTGGTAGTGATATTGACAGACTGTTTGATTGGATTTTTTCTGTTAAATTACCTTGTAAACTAAAGCGTTTGTGTTGGGTGTCCTTTGTGGCTATGTTATGGTGCTTCTGGCTGAGTAGGAATGATTATGTTTTTAAAGGAAAGCGAAGCTCAACGATGGATATATTTTTCAACACAAAAAATCAGGCTTTAGTATGGTTAAAGGCGATTAAAGGAAATAATGATATTAATGAGGATTTGTGGTGGTCTAAACTAATTCATTACTTAATGGGTCCGAGTAGCCTATCGAGTTGGAGAGCGAGATCAGGGCGAGAGGCCTGGGTTTTTAGAGTAGCTGGAGTGGCAAAGGCGGGGTTGGGAGGTGCGGGGGGAGTACTTGTACGTATCCCCATATGGTGTCCTAAAAGCATGTTTTATAGCCCGAGTCAAAAGTTCCATGCATGGCACAAATAAATTGGGTGATAGGGATCCCTTATCGAATCCCTCGTGAGGGTTTAAAGTCCGAAGATGTTACCCCATTCCACAAAACTTGCGTTGAAGCTGACGAGACACAATTCATGATCAATTGATAAAGACGACCTTTCTTAATCTCTGACCGGTCCTCCACTGCTATCGGGGAATCCGGCCCCTCTAACTGAGGAGATCACAATGGTGCCGACCACAACCTATGCCGACTGCTTGGGAACAGTCATGCAAAAACCCTAGCAAAACCATAACGTGCACATGTTAAGACTTCCGACGAATCCAAATAGCTGTACTCTTCAAACTTTTATAAACTAGTCCTCCTACGTGTACTTCCAAGAGTTTAAGATCATGGTGTTAAATTAAAAAATTTCAAAACTTAGAGGGACCTAGACTTTATTTTAACGTAATAAACAAACGGCATAATGTAAAAAATCACTACTAATATTTTATAAAATAATCATTTTGATTCTTATTCTTTTTTAAACTACCTTGACCTCTAACATTTTCTTTTGAGGTAAAATATCTCTATTTGGATTAAAATTGTTAGTTGACTAATGATTAATACATAAGAAATTCTGTGTCCAAAGTGATGATGTGGCACGTGTCATACATCACTTATGTACATGTGGCATGTGTCACACCAATATTTATGTACACATGACATGTGCTACGTTATTACTATACATGACATATACCGCATAATTATTTATGTACATGTAATACATGCCACGTCATCACTTTAAATATGTGATATGTCACGTTAGTGATAAACATCGACAGTTAATCAATTAATTAATTTTTTTTCAATTAATAAACATTACTCTAAAATAAAACATTGAAAGCTAAAGTATATAAAATTAAGGACTAGAATAATTTTTTATTAAATGACCCATTTTTGTGATTATACCAAAAACAAGTGAAAGCAACAAATAGTTGTCAAAACCCGCGATCCGACTCGTCTGGCGAAGGAAAATGTACAATCCTATTCTCTCATCTTCCCTGTCTATCTGTCTGTAACCATCTTTGCTGTCTTCTTTTTCTGTCTCTGAACTTTTCTCCCTGCTCTGCTCCCATACGCCATCTTCTTCTACTCTCCATCCCTTTCCATCTCCGTCTTTTTCAAGGTAAAATTTAACAAGAAAAATCTTTACTTTTTGTGGTATCTTCATCTACATTCCCCAAAGGGACAATGCGGGGAAATGTAATAGCTTTGAAAAGGACAGAGAATTAGATATATAGATAAAAAGATCTGCTTTTGGTTTCAAGAGATGTACAGAGCACCGTTTCCGGCTCAGTTCTCTGATTCCCACCGCCGTATCATCGACCACAATCCCACTCCCGTTCGAGCCTATCAAGTTTGGAAAGGAAGTAATGTAATTTACTACTTTCCCAGATTTTTTTAATAAAATACTTGTTTAAATGATTTTTCTTGAACTTAAAACGTTTTTGTAATGTCTACCCAGAAATTTTTCCTTGGAGGTAGAGTTATATTTGGTCCAGATGTAAGGTCAATCTTCCTTACGATATCTCTGATTGTGATCCCAGTCGTTTTGTTTTGCGCTTTTGTTTCTCGAAGAATCATTAGCGCATTCGACAATCATCTGGGCGATCTCATTGTTGCTGTTTTGATTCTGTTAACCATATATGTATGTTCTCATCTTCCATCAACTGTTGTTTTCTTCTTACTGTCTTTGTTCATTCAGTGATTAATATTGTTTTGCTGGTCAAACTAGTGCAGGATCTTATTCTTCTGCTCCTCACTTCCGGAAGAGATCCTGGCATTATTCCTCGGAATTCGCATCCTCCGGAACCGGAGGAGGATTATTCGAGTATATCGACGGATTGGCTTGGTAGTCAGAGCAGTTCTGGTGTTCCTAATTTACCACCTTCAAAAGATGTTGTGGTTAATGGGATGATTGTCAAGGTTAAGTACTGCCAAACGTGTATGTTGTACCGTCCACCACGGTGCTCGCACTGCTCGATATGCAACAACTGCGTCGAACGATTCGATCACCATTGCCCGTGGGTGGGGCAATGTATTGGGAAGGTATATTATCCTTCTGTGTTTAATTTTTTTCTGCTCATGAAATAATGGCACAAGATTATAACAGAGATGGACTTTTATGTATCTACTTCAAATTCTTCATGTTAGTCAATGATGCCTTGCTTAGTTTTGAAGTGGTAACACAACCGAATAATTCGATTCATTATCTCGGTGTCTACGTAATGATGTGATCATTCACAAAATCATACATTTTCAGTCGTTGGTCAATTGGAACTCTTTGTTTTGTGACAAAAATATGCTGCTCATAGAACTTTCCTAACCTGAACTTCATGTTCAGCTTTGTAAGAATCAATTTAGAGGAAGGATTTAAGATAGGTTTCTACATTATTTAATTTGTACAAGAGAAGGGGTAGGTTCTTCAAATGGATATCATAGATTGAATTATTGAAGTATCTACTTTACAGTTGCACATGTGAAATGAGATTGTTGCCCCACAACTTGCTTAGACGATAAAATTGTCCTGTACGCCGATGTTCTTCCGTTTCATTAGATGTTTTTCTGGAACTATGACATGGATGTGATTTCTCATATGCTTTGCTGGCTTTCATTGCGGGAACTTTTTACTCCTCAAGGCTGACATGTAAAAATTGTTTGTTGACAGAGAAATTATAGATTCTTCTTCATGTTCGTGTTTTCCACAACCGTTCTATGCCTGTACGTTTTTGTCTTCTGCTGGATAAACGTTAAGAAAATAATGGCTGACTATCGTTGTAATATGTGGAGTGCATTCGTGAAGTCCCCGGTTTCTGCAGTTCTTATACTATATACATTTATGACTGCTTGGTTTGTTGGAGGCCTCACTGTGTTCCATCTCTATTTGATTTTACCAACCAGGTTCCGATCTCGTCTATACCTTCATTTCTTCCATTATTGTCTGCCCTCTCTCTGGCTTGCTTATTTTATGTTTTTGCAGACAACGTACGAGAATTTCCGGTACCGTTACGATTCGAAAAGGAATCCTTACAACCGTGGTTGTATTCGCAACATATTTGAGGTATTCTTGTCCAAAATTCCAGAGTCCAAAAGTAACTTCAGGGAAAAGGTCAAGGTGGACTCATATTCTCTCCTTGGCTCATCACTGTCATTTCGGCCTATGACCGCAGATAGGCCAAAAAGAAGCTTTGATATTGAGATGGGAAAGAGGCAAACTGTTGTTGCCGAGGATTTTGAAGAAATATTCAACCGGATTGATAGTGTTGGGGTATTGGAGAGGTGCGGAACAGAACCGAGGCACACAATGCATAGTGACAAATCCGACTGGGATATGTCACCTGAATTAAGTGTGTTGGCTGCCGATTTCGCAATGGAATACAATTTCAATGATAGAAAGTCTATAAAAAAGGCCACTGAAATTGGTTTCACCTAAAATTATAGTCGGAAAGCATCTTAAGAATCTCGGAACTACTTGAAACTCGCCAACCTAGTCGATTGAAATCGACCGAACAATGTTATTACGACAGCAATCCATCAGAATGTTGTTTTTTCAGGATTTATTTGTCTCTGCCAGGGAGGAATGTTCTTGTCTGGTTAAGGTACGCTGGGCTTATGTGATAAATCTTACTACTTTGATAGATTCTGGGGGTAAGCTTTCGTGCTATAATGTGTTGGTTTGTGAGGAAATGTATTTGATTTGATTTGTATGTGAAGGATTGAATGAAATCATCAATGGTAGAAAAGTTTCTTTAACTGTAGTACATGGCAGCCGTTATACTTAAATTTTCAGGAGACGACGGCTCTCGTCAGCCGTTATACAGGATGCTTGTATTAGAACTAAATTTGTGAAACTGAGTGTTTTAATTATGGTTTGTAAGTCGTAACCCCCAGCTCTCTAAAACCACCAAATTTACTGATCTTTTTCTTAACAGCTTCCGAGCAATTAGTTTCACGACGGTTTTCATTTCCCTGCAAATGCTTCCGATTTCCAACTATGGCGAGTAGCAACCGATAAACTATCTTCTTTTACGGCATCAAAACAGATGGCTAAACCTTTGTTTTATTTCGGTTTTAGGTTTTAATTTTCGGACGTATAATAAAAACGGATCGATCTCATTTCCCATATCTCTGCAAATTACATTGTGGAAAGATCAAAGAAAGCTAGAACAATCTGTGCCATGGATATCAAAGCTGTAGAACACGGGCAACCTCTCTTGAAGAACATGGAGATGGGAGCCGGCGAGACAGTCCGAGAAGAGCCACAAACCGTGTCGGAATGTCCACTGTTACATCCAATATTAAAGCAACCAAAAACCAAGAAACAAAAGATCGTGAGAAAGACCTTCAAAGGAACCGCCATCCTGTCCAGGCTTCTGCCTACAGGCTCAGCCCTCACGTTCCAATTACTGTCCCCGATTTTAACAAACAACGGCCGATGCAGAACCGAGTTTTGCCAAAACTTGGTGCTCAGTGTCGGCATGTTCTGCGCCGGAGTGTGTTTCTTTCTTTCGTTCACCGATAGTCACAGAGACGAGAGAGGCAAGGTCCAATACGGGGTGGCTACGTTTAGAGGGTTATGGGTGATGGATGGCAAGGTTGAACTTTCGGTAGAGGAGGCCAACAAGTACAGGCTCAAGTTCATTGATTTTCTCCATGCTTTTGCGTCCGTAATGATTTTCATGGCGCTTGTTTTGTTCAATCGAAATGTCGTCAACTGCTTTCGTCCGAAGACGGAAGAGGAGAGCAATGAGTTGTGGCTGATGGTGTTGCCTGCAAGCATTGGAGCCATAGGCTGCCTTTTGTTTGTTGCTTTCCCTAGCAAGCGCCATGGAATTGGCAGACCTCTCTCCAAAAACTAGTCCACAATACTTCGAAGAGGCACGTGGGAACATGGATGGACCAACCGAGTGTTGGGTACTATTGCACCCCTAAAAACTTCAAATTCCTTGTATTTTAGATTTTTCTTCATATTTTCTATCAATCATTTAATATCGCCCCCTAAAATTTTATAACTTTGCACTCCTAAATTTTTTAATACATCTTCTTAAGTTCGCACCCTGACCTAAATTCTTAAGTCCGTCCTTGCATGAGAAACTATGCTTACAAAACCCTGTTAATTTGTTGAAATGGCCGTCCAAATCTATGTAGTAGTAGTAGTAAATTCATTGTAAGATGTTCGGCCGGTGATAATTTTAAGCATTAAACCATGTCGATTGACAATCTGATGACTTATGTCTCATAATAAAGATACACCAATTGTTCCCTTCATGTTCATCACCTCAACTTCACTCCATCTTCCTTATTAAGCTATTGTCGAAACACATCTCATTATTATGATTGCCTCTAAAAGCAATAATTAAACAATCGAGAATTCATGATTGCATCGTATGTAAATATTCATCTTGTTAACACCTAGATTTAGTGACATGTACCTTGTTGTACATCAAAATTTAGAGTCATGATCCAAGTCTCTTAGGGTGCGTTTGGTTCACGGAATGTAACATTACCAGTGGGAATAAAAGATTACCAGGGAATAGGATTACTGAAAATGTTGTATTTTGTGTTTGGTTGGTTTAGCAGGAATGTAAGATTAACGTGTTTGGTTAAAGGAATAAAAGATTATTGGAATGTATATTTTACCAAATTGTCCTTATTATATATTTGTTTTTTTAACAAGTTGGAAAATATTTATATATTTTCTTTAAAAAATTTAAATTCATAAAATTTATATAAATTTTTTTACAAAATTGAAAATATAAAAAGGTTTAATGAAATGGTAAATTTTTATTTAACCCCTGAACTTCATATAAAATTTTAATTATAGATTTTTTTGTAAATCTAAAATAGTTTAAGGATAAATTTGTAATTTAACCTTTGTAGAATTTTTATTATTCAATGACAGAATAAGAATATTTTTGAAAGAAATTTTTTTAAGGGCATTTTAGTCCAAGACGCTGGTAATCCAACAATACCTAAGGAAAGGGAAGTAATGACATTCCTGGTAATATACCCCAAAAAAACTACTATTGGTAATGTAAGATTACCGGGAATGACATTCCCGACCAACCAAATTGGGGAATGTGGATTCCATTCCCATGGGAATCTCACATTCCCCAACCAAACACACCCTTAGAGTTACTTTTGCTTATGATATTTCTTTTAGATAAATTTTTGTATATTATCCAAGAAGTTGCATCTAGCTACTACAAATTACAAAGTCATAAAATTTAGGGGATTTGAATTCTTCAAACTATACAAAGAATCTGATTTGCACTAATATTTTTGGTACACTTGATTATTCTAACAATCTCTTTGATACAATTAACAATCTTACCTATACATCTTATAACTCATCTAAAATGTCGATGATTTCTCTTCTCCTGTACAATATATACGTCGATGATTAATATTGGAAAAGTATGAAACACAGTTTGATTATAAGTAGAAAACTTTATTTATTTAGATTTCTAATTTATTTAGTTTTCCTTTATAATCAAGTATCTATCCATATAAATAGATACTAAGGATGAGGGTTAGATATCAAGTTTTTCTTTCACCAAAATCCTTTTGTATTTTCTTCCTTCATATTAGTGAAATTCTTCTCCTCTGCCCGTGATTTTTCCCTTTTAGGTTTTTCATGTAAATTCTGGTGTTCTTTGTTTTTCTTTTTCGATCTTGTTTATTTGTTTACCGATAATCATCGTTCCAATATTATAAAAATTTGTATCAGAGCTTCGGGTTCAAGATTATGGCAACAATGAAGTATGATATTCCGCTGTTGAATCGAAACATCAGGTTCGCGCTATAGTAGGTGAAGATTTGGGATGTTCTTGCACAGTTAGATCTCGACAATGCAATAGAAAGATTTGATGAGAAGCCGATAACGCAATGGACAAATGAGAAAAAACGTAGGGATCGTGTTGTGCATGATATTGCTCGTGGTAAAATATTTGTGAACAAAGTTGACACTTATGATAATCATATTGATGTGAAGACTAAATTCAAACTAGAAAAAGCTTGGATTCGATTAGTGTTCACTATTAAAGATTACCCCTTTGAGGGGTGTTGTGGAAGAAGTTGATAACTTGTTTGTTGAAGTGAAAAATTATTTTTGTTAAGTTTGGATGTTACATCGAATTTGGATATTTTGTCTTGAAACCTTCGTACTTTCAGAATTCGTGTCAAGGTGAAAATTTGTTAGAGTTTGACTCAAATTCAAAGTAGAAAATTTTATTAAATTAGATTTCTACTTTATTTAGTTTTAATTTATAATCAAGTATCTATCCCTATAAATAGATACTAAGTGTTGGGGTCAGATATCAAATTTTTCTTTCACCAAAATCCTCTTGTATTTTCTTACTTCATATTAGATAATTTTCTCTTATTTATGTGATTTTTTCCTTTTGAGTTTTTCATGTAAATTATAGTGTTCTTTGTTTTTCTTTTTCGATCGTGTTTATTTGTTTGTTCATATATATATATATATATATATATGGCACACTAAGCCACTTTAAGACTCTACACAATGAAAGATTTGTCATCAAGAATTTTAGAAAGAATGGCAGATCAAAGGTCTATGGCAGAGGGTGAAAATGGCGGATCAAAGGAGGCTGAACGCATGATTATATTGTTGTTTGTTGATAAATTACCTATGGAGTTACACTGGAAAGGTCTCTGACAGATCTTTGGTAGGCAAGGGAGAGTTACAAATGTGTTCGTTGCGAGTAAGAAAAGTAGAAGGGGCACAAGGTTTGCGTTCGTGCGGACTGATAGTAGAGTGGATGCATTGAGGATGATCGGGAGGTTAAATGGTCTAAGGATCCAGAATAATAGAATTGCAGTGCCGTTTGCAAGGAACGCCTCAAAGTTTTCAGAAAGGAAAAACCATGTGGTGAGAAATAGTGATAATCGAAGGTTTGAAGGAGGGAAGGGAGGAGTCTCTAGAGGGTTGGAGTCTAAGAAGAAAAGGGTGTTGGGACATATTGAACAGGAGGATATGTGGAAGTTGAGAAGATGTCTCGTTGGAGAGATGATATCGATAAGCACAATTTCGAGTATTGAATCGAGATTACAGATGTGGGGTTTGGGAGAGATTAAGGTTCAAAGAATGGGAGGAAAACATTCTTGTTAACCATTGAAGATGAAAAGCTATTTTTGTTACTGGAGGATCTTCAATGGTCGTATTTGAAAGAGATTTTTTTTTCAGAAATCATATCTTGGTCAGAGTCATTGAATCAGAGGGAGAGACTGACGTGGCTGGAGGTTTCTGGTCTGCCTCTTCCTTGTTGGAATAATAAAACGCTTAAAAATTTGGATAGTATTTGGGGGTAAATTTGAAGCGTGTGGTGAAAATTTTGACCATATCCTGTATTGTAAGAAGACCAAAATGCTCATTTCAACTAACCAAAGATTGATGATTAATGAGGTTGTGGAAGCATCGGCTGGAGAATTCAGGTATAAGGTGGGTGTGGTGGATTTAGGGTACAAGATAGTGCTGAAAGGTGTGTCTAATGAGGATACAAAAGTAAAGGCTGGAGGTGCGGGGTTAGAGAAGGAAACGTGAAATTCCTCTATTGGAGATTCATCATCTTAGTTGCACACTGAATTGTCGCCGATAAAGCTAGAACGATCGAGAAAGGTGGGAATTGAAAGGTCACAAAAGACGGGGAGTGATGAAGAGAAAACGTTAAATGAAGTAGCTGTAAGAAATGATTATGCTGGAGGCAATCATGTTGAGGGAGATACATTTAAGGTTGAAGATGATAGTTAGGCTACTGATAGGGGTTCAGATTCCAAAGAACATTCGATTGCATGTAATGGGGAGCAGATGCTGACTGCCATTTCAGAGTGATCTCAGGGGGTGTTGGTGGATCAAGGGAGAAGGATTTGTTTGGAGGTAGTAATAAATGTTGAGCAAAAAGAGGATAGGGTTAGTAAAGAACAACCAGTTTAAGTTGAAAAAGGAGGCTGTGATAAGGTGGGCCTAGAGGTGGTGGAAGATTTTATTGGAATGAGCCTCGGTGGAGACTTAAAGCATGGACAAGTAGCGGGTAAGACATCTTGGGCCGAGGAGTTTGATAAGAAAGTGAAAATGATGATTGGAAGGGATATGGCAATGAGTTAAAGTTATCACTCTAAGACCGATAAATCCCTAAATTCTTTTATGTGAATTGAATTGGAAGCAAGGAAAAGAATGAAAGGCTAGAAAGTTTGGATCGTTGATGAACTTACAAGATAAGGTGCTATCGAGGTCAGATCGAAGAAAGAGGGATAAAGCGCTCAAGAGAATTCAAGTAAAGGCAGCGATTTAGAGCCCTCAAGAGCTTTCGGACTAAGGGAAACAGTGAAAACGGTAGCGTTGGGGAAGAAGCTAGGCATCAAGATTTTGGGAGACGAGGAAGGGATTATTCAGGAAGTGACAGGTTTAGAGGTAGCTTGATTATGTGAGTCAAAGGTGAAGGGGGCTTGGACTGGGGGTCAAGTTGATTGAAGAAGGCAGGGGTTGTAGAAATGCGGTCTTATGGTGGATCAATATGATGATTGTTACTTGGAATATTCGAGGGTTAGGGTCTGAGACAAAGGTATTCCATTGCGGTTGTTGGTAAGGAAATATAGAGTGGATATGGCGTTGATACAGGAAACTAAGAAGGAATCGTTGGTGGAGGTTGACATACAAAGATTCTGAATGGATGATGACTTCGACTTCAAAGGAGTTGATGCGATACGGAGATCGGGCGGTCTAGTTATTGTTTGGAACAAGTTGAGTTTTGAAGTAGAAAGTGCTCGAGAAGAGCAGAGGTTTATTCATATTACGGGTAAGTGGTCTAAACTGGATTTAAAGATGTCCATTGTTTGTGTTC